GAACCAATTATACATACTGTACTCTTGCTGCCAAGATGAACAGGAGTGAAAAGTATGTCCAATCTAGGTTGACTTTTTTGATAAAGCAACCCACAGCTTTCATGAATCATGCATAACAACGTGTGGTTTAACAAGTACATGTCATATAAAAACCAGATATCCATACTGATTCAAAGATTCCAGTTACCATTTCCTTTGGGAATTACTTGTGCCAATGGTGAATCATTACAAATGCTACATTCTGTTTCGACATTTATGTGTGGCTTTTTTGGTATTAGCTTAAGGATTACTCTTCTGTACCCTTTCCAACGTGGAGCGGTCCTGTCACTTGGGATTGCAACTCAGACTCCATCTACACTGCCATTTAATGCAGTTTCAAACTGCATTTTGTGGTCAGTGTAGACTCATATAATACAGTTCAGTCAGTTAAACCACACTATGTGGCTCTACATTGACCATATAATGCCATTTCAAACAGCAATATATGCCAATGTCGATGGGGCCTCAGAGCATACCTGACCATTAGCCTTGCTGGCTGAGTCTGAAATCTAAACAGGTAGGTGACACCAGGACAAGGAAGGATCTTCCAACAAGGCCTGAGACTAAAGGATCACAATCAAAGGAAACTGATGCTGTCATTTAGCACCCTAACAAAGACTAAACTAGTCTTTCAAAGCCAGCTTGAATGGAAGATGATGCAACAATGTTACTCAAAATTGCAGGTTAGAAAATTACGCTGGGCTACAGTTTCTAGTGCTCTGAGGACAAAATGAGATGACAATTTTGGGAGGGATACAACGGATCTGCTGTATGCCTGTCGAGCAGGCATGGGCAAACTTTCTAACTTGGGGGCTACATGGAGGGTTGGAGCAGGGTGGATGGGCCGGGAGGGAAGGGGTTCTCCCCAAGTCCCCTTGATGCACTTTCCTCCCCATGGTGTTCAATTATTGTGATTTTATATTGCATTGTGTGTTTATTTTTTGTACTATTATATTCATTATATGTTATTGATGTATTTTTATGTTGTATCTATGCCTTGTTGTAAATGTTGGGCCTGGCCTCACGTAAGCCACCCGAGTCCCCTTGGGGAGATGGTGGTGGGTTATAAATAACTATTATTATTATTATTATTATTATTATTATTATTATTATTATTATTATTATTCCTCTTCTCTTTTGGAGACAGAAAGTGAAGAAAAGGCAGAAACATTTGGCTCTCAAAAGGGTTGGTCTTGGCCAGGATGAGATGATGGACGGGAGAGAAAAAGTGTATCCAATAGACTCCATATTGCCTACTCCTGATATAAAATCCTAGTGTTGGAAGAGACCTCCAAGGGCCATCCAACCCCCTGCCATGAAGGAAGGCACAATCAAAGCACTCCCAGTAGACAGCCTCAGCCTCCAGAGAAAGAGACTCCACCAAACTCCTAGGCAGCCTATGCCATTCTCCAAGAAGTTCTTCCTAATCGTTTCAGTTGAATGTCACTCCCTGCCATTTGAAACATTTGCTCCCTTGTGCCCTGATCTCTAAAGCAGCAGAAAATCAGTTTCCCCCTCCTCGTCCTCAATGGGACACCCTTTTAAATCTTGAAACATGATTCTCATGCTCCCTCTCTACTTTCTCTTAGAGAGGAGGAAGAGAGGGAAGGAGGAAGAAAAGAGAAAAGGAAGGATAGGATGGTAAGAGAGAGGAGGGCCTGAGAAAAGAGCCCAAGGGTTTCCTCATACCTGCTGTGGAGGTTGCAGTCCAAAAAAAGATTGATTTTGAACAGTACACATTGTCTCACTACAATTTCCATTTAAAATCAGCTTTATAGGTTTGATTATCATACCATATCAAGAATATAGTTGTACAAGAAAAATAACATCCATATTACAATGAATTTGTCATTCTTTAGACACACTTCTTGCCACTATATATACAGCCTGTATCTGGATGGGCCAGAAATCCACAAGTTTGTCTGATATAAGCTGTGAACTATGTGATCCATTTTATACTGTAAACTTAAGGTACATGGATATGGTAACCAAGATATAGGATGATCCATGTAGCTCTTTTTGCAAAGTAGGAAGCACTCCTGTTAAACAGCTCATAGTAATCAACCTGTTAAACAGCTCATAGTAATCAATGAGACTGACCTTACACAACTGCTGCTAGTCTAGGGAGTTACTAAAATTCTGACACCTTAAGAACTCTGAAGGACAATAGACACATGCCTTTTGCAGAATCTATACTTTCTATACTGTCTCAAAAGCTCACTTCTTACAATCTGCACCCACAGCAGGACATAACTGCACAGCCAAGCTAGAATAAACACTTCATGCACCTCATAAAGTGGCCTTCATGTCCACAGAAGCCACATCAGCATTATGAAGAAACTATTTTGGCGCCTCTTGAAAACTTTGCAGTGATTGAGAGGCAGATGAAGGACAATCCGTCCCTTACTTAGGAAAAGGAAATGGGGAATAAGACTATAACCAAGCAAGTCTCACAACTTCATTACAAGTTCCATAATTCCCAAGACAAGAGAGTGAGCTATAGTGCTCAAAAGTTATTTTCCCCAAGTACTACCTCTCCTCAATGCCCTTTTTATTTTCTTAAAAAGAAAGTGTGAAGTGGCCAATTTTCCCTGCAAGGCTGTCACAGGACCTGTCTTGCATTGAGTGAGGCCACTGGCCTGTTTTAGCTCAGTGTTGTCCAGCCTTGAGTGACAGCAACAACTCTCCAGGGATGCATGCAAGATTATTACCTGGAAATCCCAGATGGGTCTCTGCTCATGTACAAACCAAGCCTGACTAGGCATTGCTTCAAAAACCAGCAAGACCAAACCTGCTTTGGCCATACAGCAGTTCAGTCTTGTATCTCCTGATTCTTTCTATCAAGCAGCCTCTAGAATTTCAAGATTGTGTCATCTCTTAATTCCTCCTCAGGCTCAGAAGATCAAATGCACATTTTGGCAAGATGGATCAATTCATTTGCATTTCCCCCTGAGAACAAGTACTATGAGTCCATACCTTGGTTTGGTACACTCCCCTTCCCTTTCCATCTCCAGCTCAACATGGCTTTCTGAACATGATCAGAAGTCTAGTAAAAGGCAAAGGTTTCCCCTGACATTAAGTCTAGTCATGTCTGTCTCGGGGGGGGGGGGGGGGGGGGGGGGGGGGGGGGGGGAGGTGGTGTTGGTGCTCATCTCCATTTCTAAGCTGAAGAGCCAGCACTGTCCATAGATGCCGCCAAGGTCATGTGGCTGGTATGACTCTATGAAGCACTGTTACATTCCTCCAGAAGCAGTACCTATTGATCTACTCACATTTGCATGTTTTCAAACTGCTAGGTTGGCAGAAGCTGGGCCTAACAGCAGGGACTTACCCCGCTCTCTGGATTCGAACTGCCAACCTTCCAGTCAGCAACTTCAGCAGCTCAGTGGTTTAACCTGCTGCACCACCACGGGCTCTGATCAAAAGACTGGCTTGCTTAATTTTGCAGAATTACTCAGCATGCGCTGTTTCAACTGTATGCTCGCAGGAGGCGTGACAGCGTCTGCAATTCTGAAAAATCAACTTGAGGGATGCCTGTCTGCAGATATGTACTGTGTGTGTGTGTATACCCATGGGGGGAGGTTTTGGCGTCAAAATTAAGGATTTTGATATGACCTATGGTTAAGACAAGAGTCATACTCTGGAGCTGGAGCACCGCCCCGGTTGTTGCTGCCATAACCCACCCCAAGCTAGAAAAGGCACCATGGCAGAAAAACTAAAGGGGGTCAGGACTCCTTTTAGGTTCTTCCAGGATCTTTTGCCACTTTACTCGATGACTCACCCAACAGTGATTATATAGTATTCACAGTAACCCACAAATTCATCAATCCAGTCTTTTGGGGTTGATTTTTTTTACTACAATTTCTAGATTTATACACAAGTATATAGGGTGGATTTGGGGCCACCTTTTTTATCATGTCAGGAGCAATTTGAGAAACTGCAAGTCGCTTTTGATGGGAGAGAATTGGTCATCTGCAAGGTCGTTGGTCAGGAGATGCCTGGATATGTTACCATCCTGTAGGAGGCTTCTCTCATGTCCCCATATGGGAAGCTCAAGCTGACAGATGGGAGCTCACTCATGTGATACCTGGATGTTTTACCATCCTGTGGGAGATTTCTCTCGTCCCCATATGGGAAACTGGAGCTGACAGATGGGAGCTCACTCAGGGGATGCCTGGATGTGTTACCATCCTGTGGGAGGCTTCTCCCATGTCCTTGTATGGTAAGCTGGAGCTGACAGATGGGGGCTCACCCAAGGGATACATGGATGTGTTACTATCCTGTGGGAGGCTTATCTCATGTCCCTATATGGGATGCTGGAGTTGACAGATGAAAGCTCACTCTGCTCCCCAGATCTGAATAGCCGACCTTTCAGTCAGCAGTCCTGAAAGCATAAGGGTTTAACCAAGAGCTCCTTTTAGTCCTAGGAAATTACCGTGCATTCTCTGCAGCAGCCCACCCACAGCCCCCCCCCCCATCCAATATAAGTTGATTGGGGGTGAAATTGTGTTTTTATTTCAGGAGCGCAAAAGAGCAGGGTAGGAGGATGGAAAATGGGCAAGTTCTTGGGAAACTACTGAAAGCAGTAGACAGTTGCCAGTCTACAAGCCCTAAGTGGGTTTCAAAGCAAGCCAGCCAGCAGAAACATGGTCCTAGTCCTTGGCATGTGAGTGAGACAAAAATCCTGTTTCCACCACCACTAAGCGTGCAGCCCCTGAGCTTTCCTCCTGAACTTACCTGGGAAACAGCGAGGGACTCACCTGTGCAGGGACCACCGAGAAAGCGCGGCCTTTGCCCCCGGTCCGTGGCCGGGAAGCGAGCCCTGGAGAGGGGCCAGCCTCCCTCCTTCCCGCCCCAGAGATGAAGTCATTCCCGGCCGCTTTTCCACTGGCAGCAGGCGCAGCAGGCGCAGCAGAGCCGGGGCACGCCAAAGCCCACCCGCCTGAGAGGCGCCCACTTACCTGGGAGAAAGACCCCGACTCCGGCTCCGATCCTGATTGGTCCTGGAAGCGAAGCAGGCTCAGCCCTAGACGGCGCTTGGAGGGGAGACCGGCAAGGGACTCTAAGCACTGCAGGCTATATGCCAGAGGCAAAACCCCCCTCTGACTATGGAGTGGTGTCACCGTAAGTCTACTCAAAAGCACGCACACACCGCCCAAGCTTGCATTGTGTCGCCAAGGAAAGGAGAGCCAAGAGTCATCAGGAAGGGTTAAGCAATTAGGGACACAGAGTTATCAGGAGCAAGAGGCTGAGTCGTAGCAGCAGCAGCAGACCTGGGGCTGGGCACGGAAGGAGGGAAAGTGAAAAAGCAGACCCGGAACCTCGCCAAGGATCTCCCACTCTTCTAGAACACGCAGCTGTCCCTCTCTCTCTCTCTCTTCCTCGCCGGCCCTTTCTAGAACAAGCCTGGCACTTCCAGCCGGGGCTCCGCTGGCCACGCCCCCTCTCGCTGATGCGCTTGGCCTCCCGCGCTCCGATTGAGCCTCTGCCCCGTCGGAAGCCACGCCCCCTTGGCCGGGACACGCCCCCCGCCGAATCCTCCAGATGCTGCTACCGTAATGTCCCTAATAGCTCTGGGAGAGCCCGGCGACGTCTCCCTGAAGAATAGCCTTCCCCATGCTTTTGGCTAAGGGTTCATCTACGCCAGGCATAGAATCATAGAATCCTAGAGTTGGAAGAGACCTCGTGGGCCATCCAGTCCAACCCCCTGCCAAGAAGCAGGAAAATTGCATTCAAAGCACCCCCGACAGACGGCCATCCAGCCTCTGTTTAAAAGCCCCCAAAGAAGGAGCCTCCACCACACTCCGGAGCAGAGAGTTCCACTGCTGAACAGCCCTCACAGTCAGGAAGTTCCTCCTAATGTTCAGGTGGAATCTCCTTTCTTGTAGTTTGAAGCCCTTGTTCCGGGTCCTAGTCTCCAGGGCAGCGGAAAACAAGCTTGCTCCCTCCTCCCTATGACTTCCTCTCACGTATTTGCATAGGTAAACTTAGGCCCCCCAAGTGTTTTTGACTTCAATTCCCACCATTCCCAACAGCCTCATGCCCCTTCCTTTTCTCCCTCAGCCACTTAAGAATATTAGAATGTTGAGGCTGGCCAATCAGAAAGCACATGTAAATTAATAGGTCAAGGTAGATCATCCTCGGGCCAACTTGGGCCTTCCAGGTGTTTTGGACTTCAACTCCCACCATTCCCAACAGCCTCAGGCCCCTTCCTTTCCTGAGGGGGAAAAGGAAAGGGCCAGAGGCTTAGGAATGGTGGGAGTTGAAGTCCAAAACACTTGGCCTATGCCTGCTCTAACTTCAGCAGATGTGGAGGTTGGCGGTACAGACAGTACAAAAATACATGTTCAAACACTAAAGTTTGCCCATGCCATTTGGTTTCCCAGCAATATGTGAGGATGCGAAAATAACGCTGACAGAAAGAAAATCAACTCATTTAAGAAGTGCGGCTGGAGCAGAGTTCTGTAGACACCGTGGGCTGCCAAAAAGACAAATAATTGGGTTTTAGAGCAAAATGATTGACAGCTGACACGGATCTCTGGTGTGGGTTGGTCCATGAGATCAAGAAGAGTTGGAAGCAACCAAACGAATAAACAACAAACAGAGCAAAACCAGCCTGAACTCTCCTAGGAAGCCAAGACAATGTGCCACAAAGTTGGCAGCATAGGCCAACTGAGCTGACCTCCTTCAGGCCCAAGAAAGGAATGGGCCTCAGAACTGAATTCGCACAGGGCTTCATTGGTCCTTAATTTGGCACTGGTGCCAGTCACTTTACCACTACAGCAGCCCATTCCACTCTGTCTCTCCGGGCCCAAGCCGTACCCCTGTGGAAGGATGTTGCTATTTTGGACTGATGGAGACTCCATGAATGACAGAACACCTCCGCCCTCCCAAGTCACCCTATCAACAACTGCATTGTGCAAGTCTCACAAACTCAGGGCCATGGCTTTCTTGATTGAGACCATCCAACTGTACTGTGGTCGTCTTTACTCTTGGTATACTCAAGTCACTCCTGACACACATACAAAAACCAAGAAGTTCTTTTGGGGTGCCTGGCCAATTTCCTCCTGGACCTCAGTACTGAATCTTTACATTTCTTCTTCTGCTGCTTCTGTAGTTGGGAGCACACACTTGTATTATGTTTATATGGATGGATTTTCCCTGAAATATTATCGATACAATTTGGTCAGACTTTGAATTATATCTTTCCTTTCTCCATACCAACAGCCAAATATCATTTCATCTTGAGTCAAGTTGTGTCATTAGCCACATCACTACTCATAGTTGTCCTCTGCTGGATTCCAGTAGCTTGTTGAGTGCTATTCAACCTGAGAGTTTCTTCTTCTGACACTACGTATATCTTTTTTTTAAAAATTGGATAGTCTCATCATAAAGTTTTCAGGGTAAAAGATATTCAAAGGCGGCCTAACATGCCTCCCTCCGCATAGTGTTAGTTATGCTGCTGCTGTTTTGTTGTCTCTGAAAGATCCTCTGCCATAAATGTGTATTTAGTCTGGGTCCTCAGCAAAAGCCTATCTGATGTAAGAGACCCAGCAAGCAACACACCTGCTGTCAGAAGTTTCTTGATTCACAGAAGCACGCACTCTTCCACTGTGGAAAAGGTAGTGGTGAGGGAGGGGTGTGTTTGGAATATCCAAACCATAGTTACATTGTAAACAAGCTGAAGAAATTTCCCTTTATTAGGAGGTTATTGAAGCAGGTCATCTTACAGTCATTTCAGGTTTCTTTGATTCAATACAATACCTCAGTCTTCACAATCATCTATGAAGGAGGCATGGAACCTGGAATAGGGACCGAGGAACTCAATTTCCTCTGCCCCAAAAGCAGGCTGGGAAGGACTAAACCGTCTCCATTGGTCATGCAAACTGGATCACCAAATCTCTTATGTGGCTCAGTCTTCTTAGAAATCAGTACACAAATGTACTAAATTGCTATTATGCAGTCATACTGTTATTGTAATAATGTTTTAAATGTTTTAAATTGCTATTTTATAATGTAATGTTTTAATTAATGTTGAATCTATGCTATTTGTTATGGTGTATGTTGGCATCAAATTGCGGCTGATTGTAAGCCACCCTGAGTCCCCCTGCGGGGGTTGAGAAGGATAGGGAACAAATGTTTGAAATAATAAATAACTAAATAAATGTTTTAATTATTTTTCTTTGCTTTTACTTAAATCCAACAAACAATCCACAACAGCATGATATTTCAACAACAACAAAACCCAGAAATGTACACAAGAAAAGGGAATGGTAAGACAGTTATATTTCAGAGGAAGGAGCAGTTGACTATTGTTATTTTAATACAACACATTCTGCGTTTTCCTTGTTTTACAAAAATCTACCTGCAAGCAGCAAAATTAATAATGACAGGCCTGCTAATGTTGACAGACACCCTTCCTGACACATCTTTACAGATTAGAATCTGAATCTGAAACTACACAAAAGAGATCACAAGCTTTATAATGGCAGTTGAGGAATAGTGTACATGCCTGTGTTCTTTAAGCTACAATTCCTTATAAAAGTGGTTCTCAACCTGTGAGCCCCCAGATGTTTTGGTCTTCAATTCCCAGAAATCCTAACAGCTGGTAAACTGGCTGGGATTTCTGGGAGTTGTAGGCCAAAACACCTGAGGATTCACAGGTTGCCATATAATGAATATCCCATCACCATGCATCTAAGAGGATTGAGGCATGTAGTGATGCATGGTATTTCATGAAAACATGAAGTAATGAAGTAATGTTGGCAACTCTTGAATAGTATTAAGAGATCACTGGAGGGGTTTTCCCCTCTTGGCCTTTTTAAGGCAGCCAGCTCTACCTTGCTTGAGGTTCTGCTTCACTCTGGGGAATGATAAACACACAACATTGCCCTTGCAGCAACTCCTGTCTACTTGATAAAACATTCCAATAACAGTAAATGGAATTAAATGCTGGCAAATGAAATTCAGTATCAAGTGAAATGCAAATCACTTTCTAACAGAAGGAATATAGATCACTGTTTGTCTACAGGGAAATAATCAGCATCCTTGATGTATGATTTCAGTTGCTGATGATTCTTACAGATGTCTCTGAATGGTTCATTCAAGAGAAATAGCACATATTCCTTCCAACTGAAACAACTTTCCACACAGCATACAGATGTATTACAATGAGTGCATTTAAAGAGAATATTTCTTATGTTCAGTTGTTGAATTAAAATCATGATGATCAATGACAGTATATAACAATCTTTCTTTATAAAATCATGATATCACTCAGAAAGTCTTGTTGTTGTTGTTGTTGTTGTTGTTGTTGTATGGCTTTTAGTCATTTTGGATCTATAGTGACCTTAATGTGAACTTGTCACAAAGTTTCCATGGCAGAATTTGTTCAGAGTGGGTTTGCCCTTGCCTTCCTCTGAGGCTAAAAAAAAATGAGAATAACATGCTGAAATGGGAAGGTTGTTCAGACACAAATGATCCATCTCTGGGTGATTTCCAGTAGATCAGCAAGAGTTTCTGAATTCCAGTCATTTATTAATAGCAACACAAAATGACATTGTCACTCCACATTAGACTGTAGAGGAAGAAGGCTTTGTATAAGCAGGAATAGATTTTTTTTTTTTTAAAGGACTGAGAGCTCAGCTCAATTCTAGCTCTCAAGATAATTTCCTGAGCTTAGCAGTTGCCCAGGACCAAAGCAGATGTTCTATAATACGTAGATTGGAGCTACATATCTGGTTTTTTTTAGTTACAGGTGTGCATTGTGGGAACGATTTGTCTTAGAAACAATCCAAAGCAATATTTATTTATTTATTTATCATGTCAGAAGCGAATTGAGGGTACAGTTGTACAGTTAAATTGAGGGTACAGTTTAAAACTTGGCATTATACTAAATGTCCTTTGACCAGTATCTGGCCAATTGGAGTGCCTCTGGTGTTGCTATACGAAGGTCCTCCATTGTGCATGTGGCAGGGCTCAGACTGCACTGTAGTAAGCGATCTGTAGTTTGCTCTTCTCCACACTCGCATGTCATGGACTCCACTTTGTGGCCCCATTTCTTAAGGTTGGCTCTGCATCTCGTGGTGCCAGAGCGCAGTCTGTTCAGCACTTTCTAAAGAAGTGTGTGCATATGTTTTTTTCTCCCCAGGACAAGAGGAATCTAAGGGTGTATCTATAATTAGAATTAATTCAATCCGATACCACCTTAACAGCCATGGTGCACTGCTAATGGGAGTTGCAGTTTTACTAGATCTTTAGCCTCCTCTGCCAAAGAGGGCTGGGGCATCACCAAAATGCAACTCCCATGATTCCATAGCATTGAGCCATGGGAGTCAAAGTTGTGTCAAACTGCATTAATTCCCTAGTGTAGATGCACCCTAAGTTGCACCATGTACATACAGACACAGAGAGCTACAATGCTGGAGAAGGAATCTCACTG